ATTTACGGTGCTGAGCGTCTCGCCTGCGACTAAAGAAAAGCCCGTCTTGGTGTGATGGAGACAGAAATGTTACGCTTGACACCCGGAGTAACACGGTTAGACCGCATTAGTTAGATCGGTCTCAAAGCATACGATGTCCATAAGGCAGAGGAAGCTCGAAAGCAGCGATGGCTCGACACGTTGCACGAAGACTTGAAGTCGCGTTAACATCCACCCCGATCAAGCATTTAATCGGGAAAAGTGGCGTCAACACATCAGAAAAGCGGACCCCGCCTACAAGCGGGACAGACGCTAAAGAATAAGAAGAAGAGCATTCATTGCTTTTTCGATTCATCCCAGTCTCCATTAATAGCTCCATGAAAAGTCGAAAGCATTTTCTAGTTAGATTCGCAATGTATATGCTTTGAAGCTGTTGTTCGAAGAGTTCTGTAAGGGTGGCCACGCCTTGAAAATGAATGAGTATGGTGGATGAAAGCCGCATCCTGTGAACGACTATCAAAAGGTTCGATTGAAGCACGCACACATAGTAGTACCGAGAAGCTTCTTTTTGAAGTTGCACGGAACTGACTTCTGTCACAAGTTCACTAAAAGAGCTGAAAAGTCAGAAAAATCCGTGCCGCGACAAAACATCAGTTTGAAGTGACGCACCCCATATTCTACCATGTTTTATGTTATGGGGACGAGAACCGTTTATCTGCTGATTAGCAATCCACGGTATAGGTCGGGTTCTTGACTATAGCATACGAAGCTCTACCGAATGGATCGAACATGATAACGCTTACGATAATTTTGCAAAACTGGAACACTGCTGCAGAAAGATCACGGTGACTTCCATAATGTCAACGTCTCGTCTGGCTCGCGAGAGCAGAGGGAACTGTTGGAGTGGGAAGGTTCTCCTAATCTGATCTCAAAATACACCAAAACTTAAAACACATTTGTCTAGTATTCCTCATCATGGAGGGACCGACTCATGTCAGACAGATGGCTTGAGCGTACATAGCACAATCAACCCTGCACAAATTAAACAAGCTGCAGTGCAAAAACGTTCTGCTTCCTAAGCATACCTCTTGCCCATCGAGTATCACCTTTTAGAGGATCTGATACCTCCTTCGAAGAAAACTGACTCCAGAGGGCCAGTTTACTGAACAACAGACTAATTGAACACAATCAGTGCTGACGAAGATTCAAAGATCCTAATGGTTTCTAGTTCATTGAAGAAGTTATATTTGAGATACGTGCATTGAAGTTTAGGGTCAAAAAACGACAGAACATTTTGAAAGATCCAATTTTATACAAGTGAGCGATTGTTCAGGTGAGGACTTTGTCAGGTGTGCTAATTTTTTTCATTTATCGAAGCTTGTGTGTGCTGTTAGAACAAATTCTTTCCGATATCTCGGAATTGAACCTACCGTCTTCACGCATTCGCTGTTTAAAATAAACGAAGGACTCCACTTCCTCAGTCTATTCAAAAATTTCTGTAGAATTATGTTCTTAAAGGGGGTTCATCGTATTACTATTCTTCACTGTGTTCAAACTCTAAAGATACCACAATGCTTCGAATGACAACGTTAGTCCCAATAAATCACTTTGATCCAAGACTCCTCCACAGTAAACAGTTAAAAATATACGAATACTTCTAACTCACTTCTAGCTGTTTGAATGCCTTATTTGAGCCCTCGTGAAATGCTTGGAATATTTGCGTAGCATCTGCATTTCTGAATGGATTATGAAGTACTTTCTGTCATAAAGAAAACTGCGAAAAAGTAAGTCTTAGGTAACGCGCTGGCACTCAATTCTAACGAGATAATGTCAAAGTTTTTACAATTTGCTCCCTTCAAAATCGTATTATATTGAATCAGAACCACAACTAACGCGTATTGTCGAATAACAGCTCCTCCAGGATGATTCAGAATTGTGTCCTCGCTGATGTGCAACCATTTGTCATCTATCTGAACGAACCGCTGTATGTTCAAATGTAAGTAGAAAGAAACGAAGCGCAAAGTGTGAGAAACGTCCTGTGAGTCACTTGTCACTTTCACTCCTATCGATTTCATATAGATTTTCGGCGCATTTCGTATAGATTACGATTACGTCTCATAATTATATTAGGCTGTCAAAAAAGTTCGCATTTTCTTCTTCATCTCGTAAATCTTTTGGAACCGTTTCGAAACATTCACTGTAGAACGCATGTGAGCGGTGGTCAATGCTCTCTCACAGCATTTCTGTCGTAGCATTTCGCAGCGTTTGAAGCTGGGAAAAATCGTCTCTTACTGAAGGTATGTTCGACTGCTCCTGCTTTTATATGCCCACAAAGTGCGTGGATTGAAGCGATGCAGCAAGAGGCCTACGTGTCGTGATGACCTCCAGGCTATCTTTCACACTGTGCAATTATTTGGTTACCGATGTCTAGATACCTGAGAAAAACCACAAATGTGGTCGGCCTGTTACACTAAATGAAGAGTGTATTCTGAAGTCGATTGGGAAGGGTCCTTGTGGTCATGCACGGGAGATGATAGAGCTTTTTAGTGTTATACAGCACAGAGGCCGTTTCTCAATATCTCCTTGAAAGGAAGAAGAGAAATTTGGCAAAAAGAGAGATTCTGGTCTGGGTGACAATCGCCTAGATGCCTTTAGATCTGCATGAACATTTCGATTTAGCGCCTCTCTCTCATTTGACCCGATACCTTACTGGTAACAAGAACTGGGATCGTCACGCAAGCACGTGAAAGCAGGACTGGCACGAACGCGTAGAACAAAGGATGCAACGCTGATTTTAGAACTGCAACCTGGGAGGCAAACTTTGAAAGCTCATGAGGCTGCAAATGTTTCGCTCACGGAGAGCTGCTGCCAACGAAGTCCACTGCTATTGGTGAACAATAATGTTGGCAAGTGGATCGGTTCGCCGGCATGGTGCATGGAAAATCTGGCAAAGTTTACTTTATCTCTGCAACGCTCGTCGACGAATTACGAAGAAGATCCAGCAAAAGTCTCCAAGCTCCTGATGGGACCATCTGGCCCGTCTGGTGTGTTTAGCAAACCTGGAACAGATAGAATACCAGAAGCCTCTTCC